TTAAAAAACGTGAACATCACACAGATTAATATGTACCCCTAAGTCTCTGGAACGGAATACATGCACCAGTGAACCTACAACTACGCGATTTATATTTTAAAAATAATTAAATTCACTTAGCATTCAAAACTTGTGAATTTTGAAAAAAACAAATTTGCTGATTAAATACGGACAACCATTTAACTGAAGTAAAACGGGTTTCCCCTTGCTATAGATGTCTGCCTAATTCAGTTCAGCCACATTCCGCTACAGTTCGCCTTTATTATCAGTTCGAAATGGGGTGATTCCATAATACCCGCAGTGTTCCATAATACCACCTTCTCCTCTAATACTGTACAGACGATAGCAAACTCAATTTACCCGCCTAAACTTTCCGTAGCGTGGCGCTGGACGGCGGAAAGTAGTTCGGCTGCTCATCCACTATTGGTCCAGATTCGACCAATCTTGTCGCAACACAAGTCAGCAACGTTTTACGAGTCCCTTTATACGAATACTGCCGCATTTTTTTTGCTACGTTATAGGAATTTCCGTTATAGGAACCCATGTTATAGGGGGGGGGTCGACTGTAGTATAATTTGCATTTCATTAAATTATGATAATTTTCAGTCATCATAAAAATATGGTAAGCTGTATCTACAGGATGAGGCATAATGGAGTCCCACATTTACAAGGAGAATTTAAAAAAAATGGTACAAGAATATGGAAAAACTTTTTATTTATTTAAAGTACATGTAATAAGATTTTTTTTGGTTAGGTTTTAAAAATGATGTCGTCCAAATGTTGGCCTTAATTGGCAATGCACATTTAGAGCCGTTCCTTGAAGTTTTCTTCAACTCTCACGCATATCTGGAGGAATTTTGGCAATTTCCTCATGAATGGCCTCCTTGAGTTCTTGTAGGATTTGAGGGTGATGTTTAAAAACCTCTGCCTTGAGATACTCCCATAAGAAAAAGTCACAGGGGCTCAAATCAGGGGAGTGAGGGGCCATTCAATGGCTTCTCGTAAAGAGATTAGTTGACCAGAGAACATCTCTGTCAAAATGGCGCAAGAATGACAGTTTGTATGGGCTGTGGCTCCATCCTGTTGAAACCAAAAGCCAATTGTATCATATTCTTTCATTTTGGGGTGGAAAAAATTCTCCAGGATGTCGCAGTATTGGTTGGAAGTCACAGTGACAGTGACACCATCCTCTTCAAAAAAAAAAAAAAAAAAAAAGAGGCTTTACGATGCCTACAGAGGACAAAGCACACCAAATGGTGACTTTTGGGCTGTGAAGAGGTCGTGGAGTTCTCGAGGGTTTCCAGCAGCCAAACAATAAAAATTCTGTTTGTTCACTGTACCAAACAGATGAAAATGCACTTCATTGCTAGGAGGCACAGTTGTAAAGATCGCATTACAACCATCTTTACATCTTCCACAACCTACTGGACTCAATTCTTGAGCAATCATAATCTTGTAAGAGTGTAACTGAAGGTCACAGTGCAAAGTTCGTCTTACTGTTTGAGCCGATATCTGGAATGCAGAGGCATGTTTCCGAGTAGAACGCATTGGAGACCACTCTATTGATGCTCTGAATGTGGCAATGTTTTCAAGTGTTTTCACAGATTTGGGATGCCCAACTGGCCTTTTAGGATTTGCAGATCCTGTTGCCCTTAAATTTTGGACCATTTCAAAATCTTTTTCTGATCAGGAACACTTTTGTTTGAATTTAAACCAAATCTCATGCGAAAATGCCCTCTGCATCGCAGTCACAGACTCTGCATTTTTGAAAAAAGCCTCCACAACAAAGCCCCACCCTGTTATTCACCCAACTATGGCATGTTGACTACTGAAAATCTTATCGTTCACACCACCTAGCGGGACCGACCACCTCCCATTGGACATCATTTTTAAAACCTAACCAAAAAAAACTTTATTACATGTATTTTAATAAATAAATAAATTTTTCCCTCATGCTGGTTATAATGTTGTTTATTAGCTGTATTATTAGCAAAGTCTATTCTTGAATAAAAGCATCTTGAACCTAGAGCATCCTGCATATTCCATGGGACTTAAACCAGGACATCTTGCTGGCCATTCCATGCAATGAATATCTTCATTATATTGTCAACAAAGTCATTGATGAGTATGTAATCTTTATTGTCAACAAAAATGAAATCTGCACCTGTAGCACTTTAGAAAAGTCTTGTTTGGAGTTCCAAAACTTTTTTCTCTACCTTCTTACAGTCAATGACACCCCCGTACAAAAATATGGAGTGCATGTGNAATTACATCTTAAAAAATTTTGGATTACTAGTATAAAGTAATTTATGTATTTTATACCATTTTTATAACACACAATCATTATGTTCACCCATATCTATATCATACTGAAGAATAAGTTACTGTATATACTAGTTAAGCTCAAGTTTCTAAAGTTACATTGCAAGAAAAAACTAATAATGATTTTGTATTATTATCCTTTATTTTTATAGTTGCAAATTAGTTTTTTTATATTTAAAATGCTGGAGAAGTGACGAGTAGACTTGTGCATTATCTTAAGAGAAATATGGATGTAAACAATACTAGTAATTATTATTGACTGACTGCCATAACCTTTTCAATCTGATGTTTGATTCTGAGAATGAGAGCAACATTTGGAATATTTATATTTGTGTATATATCTGTACCTACATTTAATTAATTAATAATTTTAGCTTTTTCATTAGCAATGAATAATAACAAAACAAAAAATATATCTGTGAGAAAAACTTATTTTTAAAACTATATCCTATGTAACTAAAGAGAAAGGGCTTGGTTCTGATGGGATAAGGCAATGCAACATGAGCAGTCTATTAAGGAGAAGTGCCTACTGACAAGTGAGAGGACTTTCTACAAGAAAACTGACTCCTTTGTACATGTTATACATGTGAAGAAAACCAAGAAAACTCCACATGGCCCCTACCAACTACCAATGGGTCTAAAGAGAGATCAGATACAAGTTTATAGAAAACATGAAAAAAATTCAATAAAATATGTATTCATATCAATGCAATAAATTTTTATTTCAGCTCTTTCATATCGATTTTGGTCACATTATGGGTAACTTCAAAGAAAAGTTTGGAATTAAAAGAGAAAGAGTTCCTTTTGTATTAACGCACGATTTTGTTCATGTAATTACAAGAGGCCATAATCAAAAAGCACAAGAATTTAACTGGTGAGTATGAAATTCATATAAGTTTAAATAGATAAATTAAAAATATAAATGATCTTGCAGTTTTCAGCAACAATGTGAAAAAGCATTTACAATTTTACGTAAAAATGGATCATTAATTATATCATTGTTTGCAATGATGTTGTCGACTGGAATACCCGAATTAACTTGTGAAAAGGATTTGACTTACCTCACAGACACTCTTGTGTTAGATCTGTCAGAAGTTGATGCCTTGCGTCATTTTCGTCTAAAATTTGAAGAAGCATTACGTAACAGTTGGAAAACAAGTGTAAACTGGCTAGCTCATAATTTGGCAAAGGACAATAAGATGAATGACTAGGTATTTATGTTTTAAAGAATTGGAAGAGCTATCAAAATTGTACAAATAACAATCATTTTGTGGATATATCACATTAAATGTTATACAAATGTTTTATAAAAAAGATTGTATATTAAATTATAAAACCAATTGACATTTTGTATATAGTACAATAAATTAAAACGCTCAAGATAAATGTGGAAAAATGTTGTATAAATATAAATATTTTATTAAATTAATTTTACTGGTATTTAATTTTAATGTTACTGTCCAAATGTAAAAATATTTAAATGTTTTATTGCACAAGATTGTATAATAAAACTTTTTATTCTTTGCCTTGCTTATATCTTTCCAAAATATTTAAGGCCGTTTTACAGCAAATAATTTATGTATACTGAAACATGAAACTTTGTTTTTCTACGTAGAGGCATGAATTACTTGCTGGACAGGATAAATTTTTTGTTTCCACAATTCCACACTTAATTTGTACAGGTCAGTATCTACAGTAGTTTGATTATGATAAGCATTACTTGAATCTAAAATCTGAAAATAAAAAACTTTGTCAAGTAATTTATAAAATAATTTCCATAATATAAGCTTTATCACCAATTTTCCAGCAATTCTTAATTCAGAAAAAATTTTATAGGGCACTTATAGTCTGATGATCACTTTTCATAACTACCAGACTTATTCACTGAATGGCGTAGTATTGTGTGTGATTTTTAGCTCATTTTCTTTACATATTGTTTTAAATGCCAAAGCTATGGATAAATTAAATTTCAGTAGTATAAAACTTATATTAAGCCTAAGTGTGGACTAGTATATACATAGTAAACAACTATCCAATATATTCACTGCTTGCCTCCAGCCATATTAATTTGCATCTAATTAGTTATTAGCCCTAATATAGTTTGAGATAATCCAGTAATTGTTTGGCAATCTATAATTTACTCAATAGTTTATCCTGTAACTATAGTATGAGACTTCAGTTGATCCATAAATATGTTAATTTGGTAAACAACCAAACATGCTGGAAAATTGGTGGTTGACCTATATTACATAAAAATGCTAAGTATTTCAATGTTAAGACTGATAGGAATGTCTTGGCCCTCTATTAAAAACCATTAAGAGTTGTACATTAGAATAGTTCTTGAAATAAAAGCTGTCAAAAGAACATTCTTAGTTTATGAATTCTTTTGCTGTTATGGAATATGGCAATTTCCAAAATTAAATTTAGGCTGTGGCCTATTTATTATGATACAGAATTTTAATTGTCTATTCTATTTAATAGCAAAATAATTTGGTTGTATAGCTATAATAATTATTAAGCATATGAAAATCAAAAGGATAATCATAAAAACCATTTTTACGAGAATTATTTCAAATAACAACTTGGTATTTAATATTTACCTTATTTGTTGGTTTACAGAGTAATCTGCGCATCATAAGATCTTGACGAGCACATAAAGCATGACGATAAGGCCCAAGATTATATAACACGTTACTCCTTTCTTGTTTGTTTGCACTAATACTGACATGGAAGGCTGCTATTGGATGTTCCATTTTAATGTCTTTTAAATTAGAACTATCTTCTCTATTTTCTTCAGATACATCTAAACACAATAATATTAACAGCATATGTTTTAGAGGCAATGAAAATGTTAACAAAATTGTTTCATAATTATTTTATTTACCAGTTTTTTCTTTGTCAATTTGTTTTTGGCAATAATCTAGAATCTTAGCTGTCATATCTGGCCCAATTAGATTTTGTGAAAAACCTATTTGTGACAAAATTTTAGCTGTTGTAAATCTCTTTCGAGCATTACCAGGAACAAAATCTTTTGTTTTATTCTGTAAACTATCCCAATCAACTTCGAGTGTATCAAATATTCCTATAAATAGATTTAATTACTGATATTAATTCTTATAAACTTGAATTTAAATACAATGAAGCATCAAAAATCTAATATTAATTTTTAATGGTTTAATCTAATGCTTTTAATGGTAACTTCATTGTTGATGATTTTTCAGCCTTGCAATGTTAATATAACAACATTCATTCAAAATTCATAATTTTTTTTTAGTTTTGAAATTATGATTAGTGTGTTTTTTATTTAAATATAGTGATTCTGTAAATTATATTTTGACTCTTTGTAAGTATTCGTACATTCCTTGTGAAAGATTGGCTTGAATTTAGAATACCTTAACTTGAATTTCAGTGTATTTGGAATTTATAGTACTTAAAATGATGATATATTTGAAAATCCAGATGGGGTTCGGCCCCAATTAGTCTACATTTTCAATGCTTCACTATATTTATTGAAATTAATTTTATACATAATGCTATATTAAAAATTAAGAATTTTAAATTCTCGATATATAAGAAATTTTAAAGATAAAAAAAATGTTAAATATATCAATGATAAGACTGATAGAAATGTGAATCTTTAGTTTGTTTAATTTTTGACTTGCATAAATATACATTTCACAAATAAAGTCCATACATTATTTTTAAGAAATAAATTTTAAATTATAAACTGTATTGATATTTAAGATATCCTATAAATATCAACAAATTCATTTTTTCTTATTAATATTTATTTTTTTAAAATCAAATATCTAGATTATAGTAACTCAGAATTGAGCCTGTCTTTGCAAAATCATTCATACCTATAATATAAAGATGGTCAGAGATGATGGTCAGAGATGGTGATAAGAGAAAATAATTGAAATTATTATATTTTGAGTGTGAGAAAAATATAAACATTGCAAAATAGCAAATACAAAATTTAATATAAATTGAAAAAGTAAAGGAAAAATGATTAAAATAATATCTTTTACTTTTTTTAAAAATCTGCATTAAAATCTATTTTAATGATATTTTAAGAGTTTTTAATGTTAGCAAAATATCTTACCACATTTTTCTCCTATTTCCGATAACTTAGAATCACCTTCATCCTGTTCACCCAAGATAGCATCTAATTCTTCATCACTAATAGGGTCATAATCAACAGCTTCTTCCAAAGTCATTTGGCTTGCGTCTATAGTAAATATTAGATTAATGAGCAATTGCATAAATTACACTAAATGAGAGATGGATTAATAGAGGTTATAATAAATTTATTAGAAATTAATATTTGAAATATTTTAAAATAAACATTTAATTAATGCATAATTCTCTGAAGATCTTTTATTTAATGTTTATTTATTTAATCAACATTATTTTTTTACAAATATAATTCCATTTAAAATATTACTAAAATAAAAGTACTAAGTAAATTTTTTGTATTGGAACAATATTATCAATTAATTTCTAATTCACACAAAAACTTAAAAAATTTTTATTGTCTTCATTACAATGCCAATACTTAATTTTTTTTAGTAAATAAATAACAGAATTTATTTTAAAAAATACATAAATTTATGAATATAAAAGAAACAAACCATCATTAATTACGTCTGCTGCCTTTGTGGAAGAATTAGTTTCTTTCTTAATCAACACTGAATTTTGCTTTTCATCATCTTGAACCACAATTTCTTTGCTAGAAATATTACAAATTACAAACTTTATAATTTGATTTTTACAGAATTATAAATATGTAAAAATTAATACAAACATTATAGTAAAGATTTAGCTATATAAAAAAAAAATATATATATATATATAGTTTTTTAAAATGCCAATAACTAAATTAATCTTAAGATATCAAAGAATAAACTAAAAATTACATAATTATTTTTATTTTAAAAGTTAATTTTATTCTAAGTAAAATAGTTGTAAAAATAAAATCTAATTGTTCAAATTTAATTTAATTATGAAAAGAATTTCAATTCACAGATTGAATTTTTTTTCATATTTAATAATTTTTGATTTAATTGTAAAGGCCTCAAGATTTCTCAGTTTGAAGTCACTAATATGAAAAATGATGAGAAAGATGGCTAGAAAAGGTTTTCATTATGTATCAAAATCCAGATAATTAATAGAAAATGTCAAAAAAAAAAAAAATACTGTTTTTCAATTAGTGTGTCACTTAAATACAAAGAGAAATGGAAATATTTTGAAAAGGGCATAAGTTTCCTCCATTCCTTAGCACCCTTCTATCTTAAATACCATATATAACTGCAAATCACTTCCATAGTATGTTTAACATCTTAATCTAATAAAATGTGTATATTATTATTATATATTTAGCATTTGTATGAATGTCAAACAGTTTTTCAATTTCTTTCAAAACAACACAAACGACTTATGCCCTTTTCAAACTAACTAATTCAATTATTATGAGTCTCTTTAATTATCTGTACAAAATTTTAAAAAATGCCATGCTAATATTTAATAAACCTATTACATTAATAATATTAATATATTTTTTAAATAACGAATGTTAACAATTTTTTTTAAATCCTGAATAAATTAATAAAATGCAATTTTAATATTTTTTGCTTCAATGAATTAGAAAAAGATACTATCAAAATTTCAAATCTAAGTCAAGCAGAAACACCTTCAACAGACTTGAAAAGTATCACTCAATAAATTGTGTGTGTGTCTAAATGCTAAAGAAGGAAATATTTTTAAAAAATAATTATTTATAAAGCATACTTCTCAATTTCCTTTTTACATTCTGGCTGTATTGCTACTTGATTTTCTTGTTTATGTACATCACTTTTTTCAGAAACAGAATCTTCATTAGAAATTTCAGGTTTCTTTATTTCTTCTTCCTATTATACATAAGTGAATAAAAGTAAAACTATTATTAAAGTACAAAATGATTACTATACTTTTAAAATAAAATTTTAATTTTCTCATCAGTTTAAATGACAAAAACCAATTTTTCTATATAGATTTCAGAAATATTTATCATTTTTCCCTATCATGTTAGGTTTTATTACAATTGATGAAAATGAAAAAATACCCATAAAACACTGTATACTAGTAAAGGTATCCCTCATATAACACAGTAATTACATTTCGAAAAAGTGCCATGTTATGCAAATCCATGCTATACGAAACAAAGGACTAGAAGAAACCATAGGATTAGGTTACAAAAGTTACCAAAATTATACTATTCTTTATCGTCATTAAGAGAAATATATTTATTAAAGCAATCAATAATTAACTAACAATCACAATTAAAAGTATCATATTACACATTAATATTACTATTAATTAAACAAGGGCATTTTCTTTTTACAAAGTATTGTCATCATCTGAGCTTTTTTTTTTATCTTGATTAGAAATATCAGCAACATCGTCATTCTTTTTATTTTTATCATCAAATTTTTTATGTATGACAAAATAAAAATATGTTATTAAGCAAAAATTTGTACTAGTGGGTTGCATTTGAATACTGAATTGTTGGGAATAGTTCAAATACCAAGATACCGCTGTATTGTTCACCATTTTATGAATGATTACTTACCTACAGTTAAAAAAGGTAAATAATACTTACCTAAAAATGTTCAAATAAACTTTACTAAATATGAAGATTAATCTATAAAAACAAAACACAGTGACAATCTTAAAGGCTAAAACCTGAAAGCAATGACGACGATGACACCCGGTTGATAGGAAAGCTAGGAGAAGGAAGAAAAAAACTGCATTATTAGTTTTCATTAAACCTGATGAATGGCACAAAACAAACTGAAAATCTCATATGCTAAAATCCATGGGTAAATTTGAGATAACACGCATGCTTACTTGAATAAAATATATCAAATAAAGGGATTTGCACTTAAAAGGTGTGAAATTTTGTATGGAAGATTTCCCAAATTCTTGAACTGTGCTGTATGGGGGAATTCCCCAATTTTTGAACCACATTAGAGTGAAACAGTGCTGTAGAAGTGCCATGTTGTATGAGGGATACCTGTATATATACAGTCAAACTTCTGCATAATGAATTCTCTGGGAAATGCAAAAAACATTCATTAAGTAGAAAATGCATTATAAATAAAAGTGGATATAAAAAAGTATTTTCAACGTTAAACAAAAAAATTCAGTACAAAAAAAAGGAATTTGTTATATAGAGCTTTGTAATGTGAAAGTTTGACTATATTTATTTTAAATATCAGCTGTTTAACAAAAAAAGAAAGAAAAATGCTTTGAAAATAAAACATTAAAATAAAATTTATTTATTTATTTTTATTTTGTTTCTTGTTTGTTTGTCTTTATTGAAGAATATAGGGTCCTTTCAATATTGAAAAACTGTTTGCAAATATCCTCTTACGTATTTCTTCTGTGTTCCTTCTCTTTTAATATACTAACACTAGCTCAGCAATCATACTCTTATTCTGGTATAAGAAAATCTAGCAACCAGTTGCTTAACTCTCCTGGAACATTTAAAACCACATGTGACACCATCTGTTATATTTTATTTAAAAATCTTTTTATATTTTTATTATAAAATGGCAAAATGCTTAATTTTAAGGGTAGAGATGCATTTTATAAAAAACTGTAAATGCTAATAAGTAAAATTGCCATTAAGTCTGACCCTACTAGACATATGACATTATGATCACCTTTATCCTCTCATCCCCTCAACCTTTAACCACCAAAATTTAATAGAATCAATCCCCCTAATACACAAACCTCCCTGCAAAATTTTAGAAATTTTTTACATAAAGCACAGAAGTTATTAAGCTTTACAGAGGGAGAACAAAATCGTGCCACACATACACATACTAACATCTATACATTCAGAATAAACCCCTGAAATTTTTTGCAATTCTCAATGTTTCAAGGATCCCCGAGTCAAAAAATGTAAAAATCTTGGGGGTCATTTTTTGACTGATTGCTACACTTTCCCCCTGTTACATATAACAGTGCAGGGAAAGTAAAAAATAAATGCCAATTTTTACCTGAATTGAAATTCAAATGTACAATGATCGTTATTTGCCATCATACAAGTGGAAACAAATGCAAAGACAAAGAATATGATTATCCAGCCAAATAGCTAAAGCACACCTTTAATCTTTAAAAAAATATAACAAATATACATAAAAGATATTAGTCTACTTTTATTAACCACTTTATCAGCAATTTTGTATGCAATAGAAACTGTCATGTTCAAGGTAGCATTCTATCATCAAAGTAACTGAGATGACTAATCACTCACTACATTGAATTTAAACAACTTAAAGCTTTTTTGAATCAAAACCACTCTCACATAGAACAATATACATAAAATTAAATGCTAAACTAAGAAGAATTTCAATAGTTTGGTGTTACATACATGTAGTATAACTAAAAAGTAAAAAATAAAAAATATGTAAAAAAACATTTTAAAATAACACTTTTTTTTTTAAATTTCTACAGCTTTCACAGTNCAAAAATACAAAAATGAAGTATATTACCAAGTAACCCAGTGAGAACTGCTTGCCTATCATTTTAGTTGAAAATACAAGAAGTTTTATTCCAAGCAAGCATCGCAAGCCCGCTAGGTTAATTTCTGCTGCTTGCTTGGAATAAAATTTCTCATATTTTATATTAAAATGATAGGCAAGCAATTCTGTTAAAAGCACTGGCACTGAACTTTTCGCTTCATGCAGTTTATTTTGCAACTTTTTTTAAAATGATGTCAATCCCGAAAATCTCGGGATTAGGAAAACTTAATCCCGAAAATTTTGGGACTGAAAAGTGGTCGGGATCCCGATTTTCGAGATCCCGGGATCAAATCCTCTATCCCCGAGTCAAAAAATGTAAAAATCTTGGGGGTCATTTTTTGACTGATTGCTACACTTTCCCCCTGTTACATATAACAGTGCAGGGAAAGTAAAAAATAAATGCCAATTTTTACCTGAATTGAAATTCAAATGTACAATGATCGTTATTTGCCATCATACAAGTGGAAACAAATGCGAAGACAAAGAATATGGTTATCCCGCCAAATAGCTAAAGCACACCTTTAATCTTTAAAAAAATATAACAAATATACATAAAAGATATTAGTCTACTTTTATTAACCACTTTATCAGCAATTTTGTATGCAATAGAAACTGTCATGTTCAAGGTAGCATTCTATCATCAAAGTAACTGAGATGACTAATCACTCACTACATTGAATTTAAACAACTTAAAGCTTTTTTGAATCAAAACCACTCTCACATAGAACAATATACATAAAATTAAATGCTAAACTAAGAAGAATTTCAATAGTTTGGTGTTACATACATGTAGTATAACTAAAAAGTAAAAAATAAAAAATATGTAAAAAAACATTTTAAAATAACACTTTTTTTTTTTAAATTTCTACAGCTTTCACAGTATTTTTGGTATTATGTGATCAAAAATACTGTGAAAAATGCACTAAAAGGTAAAAAATAAAATTTTTTAAGCTTTCACAGTATTCTTGGTATTATGTGATCAAAAATAAAACTATGAGTGTTGATCATGGAAAGGCCATAAAAATTGTTAGAAAATATAACTAAGAATATTTCTAAACATGATTGCCTCATGCTTTTATTTTTGGTCACATAATACCAAGAATACTGTGAATGCCAAATACAATTTTTTGCACTTTTTAGGACATTTATGTAAATAAAAAGCATTTCTAAGAATATTTCTAAACATGATTGCCCTATGCATTTATTTTTTGCACACAAATACCAAGAATACTGTGAATGCTGGGGGGGAGATTTTTTTACTTAATGCTTTTTTATTCACATAAATGTACTTTTTTTAGTTTTTTAGTTATTTTATTGTAGAATAAAGAAGCCAAACATAAACATCTCTAAACTAAAATTGTTTTATTGAATAGCTAAAATTTCAGAATTTGAAAGTTTGAATTTTGTTGTAGTTTAACAGATTGAAACTAAGATGACTATATATATTTGTGGGAAATTCAAAAATATTATTTGTTTTTGAATATTTTGATGTAAAAAGGTGTTAATAAAATGCTAGTTTTTATCATAAAGATAAAATCAATGATTAGTTGATTTTTATTCAGTAACTAATGTATAATGAGGTTTTTAAAATTTGAAAGCCCTTTTTTTTCCCTGTGAAAAGTTACTGGAAATTATTTGTACACAATTCTTGTTATAAATACAGCATTCACTGAATGTTGTTGTTACTTTTGTCAGCAATATTATAATGAAACATTGTTGAGAATGTGTTCTTAAAATTAATTTGTAAGCATTTACAATTGTTGAATTTTTTTTTATAAACAATAAAATTGATTATATGAGAGAGATAATTAAATGCTGGAGGTTTTAAACATAATCCAATAAATTGCATTTTTAAGAAAAGAATAATAATCAGCCTATTATTTTTACCCTTTTTTCTGCAGATAATGTGAACCTATATCCATATTACTTCAGCATTAAATGTGTTAAACTTGCCCTGCTTACATTTGCCATTTTAATTTTATATGGTTTCCTTTGTAATTTGTTGGAATCTTCAATTGTTTTTGAACTGCATGGTGGTAGGTGCTTATAATTCTCAGTCTGAAAACATTTTTATTAAATTTACCCATTTCAGTAAGAATTCCCAATATTGGATGATGGTTAATATATTTAGAAACGATTATATTTATTTCAATCGTATGTTTGTTTTTCATTAATTAATGTGTAGTTAGTCGTATTAGGAGCCTTGGTTTGTAGCTTTATTGCCTTGGGTCTTTTTATTTAGAAGCTTAATTTAAATTTCTGGCCACAAAATTATTTTAACTTCTTGTAAGAATTGATTCAGTTAGGTATGTTTTGTTTAAAATAGGTTTCCAAGAGGCAGTCTTGTCCCAGCACATCAAAATTTTTCAAAAATTTATTTTGCAAAAATATTGGTTCTGTTCTGAAGCATTTATGCCTACTGTTTTAATTTTTTTTTTTGACTAAATTGACTGGGGACCTAGTAGATTTTTTCAACAATTGGTCTGCTCCAAGTTTGAACAAGGTTTGGAATGCAGGATAGATTAGAGATGTTCCTACTTGAAAGTCTTTACGATTATATGGCATCCAAGAAATTGTCACTATTGTCAGATATACTTTTGTTCAATATGCCAAGACTCTTCAAAATAGCAGTCTTCAAATATTGAAGTTTAAGCTAATTCCATTGTTATCCTAGAATGCAATAGAATGGAATTGCTTTTCAATTATTTGGACTATAGAATGAAACGAGGCATTGATGCCTCATCTACATTTATAGTGCAGAAAATGTTTTTTCTATTGTTTGATACTGCATCACTTAGGACAAGGTAGTCTCAAAGTGCTTATTAAATGGGTTTCATGCCACTGAGGTGATCCTCTGCTTGATACTTTGCAGAAGTTCTCTCCTTGGATGATGATACATATAACAAATTTTTTTTGAAGAAAGAAGATTGTCAGATTGAGAACACTGTTCTTTAAGTTAGAATGTCAGAGGACAGACTTGGGTCCTTGCATTTGTATGTATGTTTCCATTCTTGCAACAATTACTCCAGATAAAAAATGGAATGCTATAAGATAAACCTTCCCCTCAGTAAAATAACTTCTAACTATATAGGGGAAAAATAGTATGTCAACATAGCTATATTTACAGATTTTTCTGCAATACTTGCATTGCAGAAACAAAGAAATAATAACAA